GAACTGGGGATTGAACTCAAGCCCTTGTGCTTGCCAGGAAAGTGCTTATTCTACTGAGCCATCTCTCTCGCCCCACCATATCTTTCCTGTGCTCCTTCCACTGTTTCAAATTCTAGATCAAATTAAAACTAAGGATTCAAATTACAGAGTATATTGTCCATTTTAGTTAAAACATTTTTTATCTTCTGCAAGGATGGCTTCAGCTTTAGTTCTTTGCAAAATGAAACATTTTATGAGAAGCCTGTAATTATTTTTAGGATCCTGTCATTTTAGATACATTTGTTTTGTTTTGTTTTATGAGCATAGTACAGAATATTATTTCTGAGATGATTATAATTATTGCTGAAGTAAATTTTTAGAACATGCTTCATGTACTTTTGCTCCTGGAATTACCTTTGTATATTGATCAATTAACTGCACACTGCTTTTAAAAAACACTGGGTCGCTGTCATGGCTGTTTTGTTACTGACATATTGAAGAGTTTATCAGTGGCCTAAAGTTTGGCAGGAAGTGAAAATGTGCTGTTCTGGACTGTATATTATCTTAGTTTGGGGAATGGTGATAGTTCACCACTCTCATTTTATGATTCTGAAAACTGTGACCTAACTGACCCAGCACAGAATGTGCCATGTGCCCGGCTGCCAGCCAGTGGCCATTTATCTTCAGATCACAAGGACATACAGCATTCCCAAAGCATCTGAAATTTAGTTTGGGTTCTCCCAAACTCAGTGTGTAAGTACAGTGTTAGGGTGAGAGTCGGTGGTCCAGCTACCCCAGTCATGGACTGACGAAAGCCACACAGCCTGGATCCCATCTGGTTGACTGTCTCCTTGCATTCATCCCTGCAGTCAGCCTATGTGACCGGCCACCCGATGGTCATCGACGGAGGCTGGAGCTTGTAACCCCAGATGCCCCTACAAGAAGGCAGGCCCTTCCTCCTCACCACTGAGCACCTGGGTGTGAAGAAAACCCTTAGGGTTCTCGCTCCTGCATATGACATCCCTGAAAACAAGCCCTCATAGTGATGTTCAGAGTCTGAGTCATTAAAGACATTCATCTCTTCGGACTCTCTCCTGAAATCATGCTCAGTAAATCAAATAAAAAAATATTAAAATTGTTGCACAAGAATTGTTTTTTAAAAATAAACTTCAATCTGTAAACATCTGACTTGTTAGTCCAGGCTACTGCAAAAATTACAAAGCACTGCCCGGTTTAGACAGTGTGGAGGCTGGGAACCTAAGATCACTGCAGGGCGGTCCACGTCTGATGACATTCTGGGTGTGTGGTGGTCACCCACTGTGGCTTCCAGAGCAAGAGAAGTGACAGAAGCACTCTGTGTCTTTTTGAAGACATGGGTCCTGCTCAGGAGGGTCCTGCCCAGGGTCCTGCCCTGCCCCAAGTCCTCCCTCCCAGGAGGTGAGGGTCTCAATATGTGAATTTGGGGTAGAAACATTTAGTCTACAGAAACATATGAAATTAAAGTAATATTGAAGAGATTTTTAAAGGAAAAAATTAGTTTGTTTCCTTCTTTCTTCCAACTACTAAGTGTTTCTGTGCAATTCTGCATTGACCTAAACTGCACGTGGAGCCTAATTTCAAATTTTTAGACCATCATAAATGAACACCAGAGGTAGGAAGGAGTCTGGTTTCAATAGCAATGAAAGAAGATTAGATTCAGAACTATGTTTTTCATCTGTTATGTAAGAGAAAAATATTTTTACATGATGGATGTTATCACATGTTAAGTGCAATTTTCTTCAGCTAACTAATATTTATTAAAGTAAGCGATTATATTTAGTATGGGCCCAAGAAACAAATAGTTACCCAGATGCCTATGTGTTCAGTTTGAGAGATTTTTTTTCCTATTAAGTACAGATTTGTTTCACAAACTCTAGGATAACAGAAAATAGGACACCAAATTTGGAAATAGGCACCAAAAAAAATTACTCAAATATCTAACAGAAAATGAAATTTCAAGAAAAAGCTTTAATGATATGGATACTAAATCTATAATGGGAGACATTTTCCTTTTTAATTTTAGTCTTAGGGCTTTATTTTTGCCTCCTGACAAAACCAAATGGTGTGCCCATATAACTACTCAGTTAATAAGCAGGTTCTTCTTGGGTTTTTCATCTAGAACTTTCATTCCTGAAACTTTTGAAATGGACTAGGACAGGAGAACATTTAGTACAGAAGAAAGAGCATTCTGCAGTTGGGAAATGTGATATTAAAATGTAGAGCAAAGAATATTTTGAGAGCCTTGCTGATGATCCCATTGATTGTAAGATCTGCTCTCAGGCTCTGGGCCAGGCACTTCACAACTAGATGGTGGATGGCTTGGTGGAGGGCCTTCACCAGGTCCCCCAACTTGTCTTGGATTTCCTTCTCCTAGTGTGTAAAATTAGGTAGTTGGGCTAAATGACCTGGGTCTCTTTGGGTGCCTCATGCCTGTAAGACTATCATGAAATACTTTGAATAGTTATACATGAATGAATTCAAATAAATATACAACGAATTCTCCAAAATTATTTTCAGGTCCACAGATGTCCAGAACCAATCTACACAGAACCTTAGAGCATTAGAAACATTACAAGTAATAAAAATAAACTAGTCCCCAAATTCCATGATTTCCAAACTCATGTTAAATCAGGTGCTGCATCCATTAATATCTTATGACTGAAAGAAAAAGGAAAAATTATTTTAATGCTGAGCTAAGAGGAAGCTGGTATGACTACAAGTTTCTGTAGGCTTCAGAGTGGAAGCCTGTGGCTCAGGAAAGCAGTCATTTCAGAGCTGGGGTGGGTCTACAGAACCTGGCCTGCTTAGCAGGAGGACCAGAGACCCCTGGCGAGGGCGCCTGCTCCAAAGAGTGACACAGGTAAGGGGCGCGCACCCACACAGTCACATACCACATACACTTCCACATTTACACATTGGAAGGTAAATAGGAAGGGAAGGAAGCCGCAAACATGTGAGCACTGTGGAAAAGAATCCCTCCTCTGGGATAGATTAACATCCAAAGCTATAAGCCAAAGAGCACGTACTGAAGAAGACATAACAGTTGTTCCAAGACAGTGGCGCCGTCTAGCACCCGATCCGGACCTGCGTGGGCGGCGCCCATGGGAAGATAGGGTTGGGAGGCCGGGACACAGACGCCCCACCCCCCCGCGGCAACCCGGGGCGCTGACGCCGCGGGGAGCCCACCTCACCCGACCAGACCTGCCCCGGGGCATGAACTAACGGCTCTGCGTCCGCACGGCCGGCTCCCTGCGGGATTGTGGTCCAGCTCTGAGCTCCACGAGGTCAGCAAAGGGGCGCAACTGGTGAGTGACGGGAAGCCCTTGTAGCTGCGCGCGCCTGGGCCTGCGGACCGCTGCAGAGGAGGCGGACGCCGTGTGCGCACGCGTGGCTGCGTGGGCGCGCGCGGCGTGGGCGTAGGGGCACGCGCGGCGTGTGCGCGCGCGCGCGTGGGGCATGGGTGTGTGCAGGGATGCTCGTGGGGGCGCGCTGCAGGGGCGCGTACCTCCCACTGCCGGGCGGCTTCAGAAAGGAAGCTTTCTCGCCCGGGGCGGTGGCGCTGGGCAGCCGGGCTGCGTCTGCGGTGCGGGGCTACGCCGGGCATGGGACCTCCGGAGCGTGCTGCTCTGCCGGGTTCTCCCTGGAGTTCGGTTTCCCGCAGTAAGGAGTGAAATCTAGCTTCAGGGACACAGGACTGCGAGTGCGAATGCTCGTGGTTTCTTCCTTAAAGGAGAGCAGAACCGAGCAGATCGATGATCAGCGTCCACCGCGCCGACACCTAGGGGCTCCCCGAGAAGGCCCAGTCCCGCGTGTGTGTCCAGCACCCGAATTTCTTCAGGACGCCAGCCCCACGGACTACGAGCCAGGACGTCTCAGATCCTCCGTGCCAGGGTCTGTAGGAGTGAAGCGGAATTGAGAACCCCCTCCTCCGGCGGCTTTCTGCACTTCCTTGTGACTAGAGGTCTGGATGTAAAATTGGGGCCCAAGTAGGTGGCTTGGAGAAGGTCTCCAAGGTAAGGTCAGGCCGAGGTGTCTGCCTTCTAATTTCAGCTGTGTCCCAATGGCAGGGACGACCCAGGAGGAGCCAGTGTCAGGAGTTAAGAACTCTGGTAACAGAGGCTAGATCTCTGAAATCCTTCCCTCCACAAGCACAGTGTGAAGCAGGTCTACAGTTCATAAGATGGGCAGCTCTATTGAAAAAGTGTAGGGCTGGCCAAATAGCTCAGCGGATTAAAGCGCCTACAGTTGTCCTCTGCAAAGCCTGGAGACAGTGTGTACAGAGTGTGACCCACTCCTGGGGCACCAGTGTAGTGAGGGTGTATTTTCTGCGATCCTGTGGCTCAGCTGTGTCAGGTGTAAGAAAATTTTTTTTTATTTTATGGGGAAATTTTTCAAAACAAATAATAGAGTAGCAATGCTTAATATAGTGCATATATTCAGAGTACAAGATAAGGCATGAAAAAGTCTCCAAATGATATTAGCACAAATCTTTCTTCTCAGTGAACTAAGAAGGGGTGGGGAGATGGCTCAGTGGAATAAATGCTTCCTTGGCAAGCACAAGGACCTGAGTTCAATCCCTGGTTCCACCAAAAAAAAAAAAAAAAAAAAGTTCCTCAATGAACTAAGAGAAACTAGTGATATAACTATCTTGTATTTTTTCCTTTTTCTTCCTTCTTTTCTCCTTTCTCCCACTCTAGTTCCTCATTCTTTCTGAACAGTTTCTTCCCATTTCACAATGTCTATGCTACAATTTGGTCCTTATTTACTCTTTTAGTTTCTCACACTAGGGAGACTATATGATGTTTACTTGTATGAGGCTGATGTATTTCATGTATGAGTATGGTCTCCACTTGCATCCATTTACCTATAAAAGTCTCAAGTTTATCTTTTTTTATGGCTAGTACTCCATTGTATAAGAAGACCACATCTTTTGTCCATTCCTTGGTTCATGGACATTTGGGTTGTTTCCAAGATTTAGCAATGACAAATTGTGGTGCCATAAACATGGGTGCCCATAAACCACTGTGGTATATTTTCATTTCTTCTGAAAAAAATATCCAGGAGGAAAACACCTGGGTCAAAAGGGATCTCTAAATTTAGTTTTTTGAGGAATCTCTATATTGATTTCCACAGTAGTTGCACCAGTCTACTCTCCCATGGGCAGTGGAGAAGGGTTCTTTTTTGCCACAGCCCCTCCAGCATTTGTTATTGGTTGATTTTTTTTTTTTTTTCTTTTTTTGGTTGGTTTCTTTCTTTCTTTTTTTTTTTTTTTTTTTTTTAGTGTATTTAGTACAGGGTCTACCGGGTCTCACTACACAGATCGGATTCATGGTAATCCTTCTGTTTTCAGCCTCCCAAGCACTGGAATTACAGGCTACCATGCCCATGTCTCAGCGCGCCCTGTGGGCAGGGCTGGCACAGCACACCAAGGAATCAAATTTGGTTGATTTCTTGATGATAGTCATTCTTTCTGGGGGGAGACAGAACCTCAGTGTTGTTTTAATTTACATCTCTCAGGTAACTAATAATGTTGAACAGTTTTTATATATTTATTTGCTGTTTGTATTTGTTTATCTGAGAAGTGTGTATTCATCTTATATGTCTATTGTTGGATTGGGTCTTTGAATTGGAAGGTCTGATTTTTCTTCCATTCTGGCCAACTGGCCAAAATTTTTTCCCAAACTGTGGATTGTCTTTTTACTCTGTTGGTGATTTCTTTTGTTGTGAAAAAGCTTTTTAATGAGACGATATCTCATTTGATGAATCTTTGTAGTGTTTCCTGTGTAGTCTGTTTAGTTTTGTTCATGAAGTCTCTGCCTACCCCTGTCTTCAAGATTTCTACTTATTTTTCTTCCATTAGATTTCGTGTTTCTGTTTTAATATTTAGAGCTGTTTTTTAAAACCTTTTTTGGCCCGTATTTGTGGTATATAACATTTACATTCCTTGTGGGTAGTTGATATATGAACATGATACATCTTAATTCTTTTCAGATCTCCATCTTCTCCCTTCCCTCCATCTCTTGGTCCCCTTCCCATTTGGAAAAGTTCTACATATCTTTCTGTTTTCTGTTATCCATCTTTTATTCTGCTCTTTATTTCTCATATGAGAACTCATTCATATTTAAGCTTATTTCATTTAACATTATTTTCTCAAGTCATACCCATTTTCTCACACATGACTCAATTTTACGGCAGAGTTGTAGCACATCTTTTTAAATGTTGAGTTTTTGCTGTCCACCCATTCTTCTGTAGATGGACATACAGGCCACTTTCTTGGTTTACCTGTTATGCACTGTGCTGCTATAAGCACGGAGTGCATGTATCACCGCTGTATGATGTATTTACTTTTTTATTGACATGTATTTAATTTACTTCACTTAAAACTGTGGTCTCAAGAAATACCTCAAGATTATTATTTTGTGGCAGAGTAGTACTGCTGTGTATAAAAACACATTTTTTATCCATTCACCAGTTCATAGGCATTTGGGCTGTTTCCAAGATTTGGCTATTACAAACTGTGTCGCTATAAATATGGGTTTTCCCACATCAGAGTACCGTGATACTTTTAATTCTTTTTTTTTTTTTAGAATGTTTTCATATTTTTTATTTTATTGAGAAACCCATACCAATGAGACAGTTTCAAAACTGATTAATAGGACAATTTCAATAATTAATACATCATACATTGTTATCTTCTTAGTGGTTATTCATAGAACAAGATGCAGACAGGATATTCTATCCAAACACTGTTAGTACAAATCTTTCTTCTCATTGAATCAAGCGAAAGTACCTGTATATCTATCCTAACTATTCTGCATATACAGACACAAAATGGTCCTTCCTTTGTATCCCCTTTTTTGTTTAGTCCTGTCAGAGATGGGTATTCCATTGGCATCTAAATATTATAGGAGTGTGAATTCAGCAAAACAATCCAACAGAGTCCAGCAGTCCACAATAGTAGTGGGTTATCCACAGAAGTTGTTGACTTGAGCCTTTCACAGCTCAGCATATTGGCTTTAGTTTATATACCTCATTTTTATACTTTTCTGCTTGATGGTTAAGACCAGAATAAAGCGAGACCTATATAACAAGAAATGTAACTTTTGTATCTGATAAGGACCCTCAGGATTTATCCTGTAACCCTGTAACGCACTTCGTAGATCCTTTGTCAGCCATGTGGATGAGTACAGCCATTGCTTGACCAATTTGCTGTCTGTGAAAGCCTGAGAGAATTTTTTCTCTCCAGGTGGTATTTACTCTTTTGGGAAGATACTTACTTGGTTTGAATAGACTATCGCATTTTAATTTCTTGAGACATCTCCATACTGATTTCCATGATGATTGTACTAGTTTTCATTCCCACCTGCAATGCTAGATTCCTTCTCTTCAACCTTGCTAGTATCTAATATTATTTGATTCCTTGATGATAGGCATTCATTCTTGAGTAAGATGGAATCCCACAGCAGGGTGTGGTAGTACAGGCCTGTAATCCTCGTACTTGGTAGCCTAAAGCAGGAGGATCACTGAAAGTTTGAGGCCAGCTTGTGCTACAAAGTGAATTCAAGGCCAACTTGAACTGCATAGTGAAACCCTGTCTCAAAAAGATTTAAAAAAAAAAATCTCAATATTGTCTTTTTTTTTTTTTTTTTTTGGCCCCACAGCATGTGGTGCTGGGAATTGAACCTCCGTCCCTTCCTCCTGCCTAAGCTTGTGTAGACAGGTGCTTTAGACCGCTAACCTATCTCGCCAGCCCCTCTATATTGTCTTAATTTGCATTTCTCTAATGGCCAGAGATGTTGAGCATTTTTTCATGTTTGCATTAGCCATTTGTACTTCTGAGAAGTAACTGTTCATTTCAGTTGCCTAGTATTTATTGAATCTTTTCTTTGCGGGATCTAATTTTTTTAGTCCTTTATTAATTCTAAATATTAGTCTTCTGTCTGAGAAGTAGCCAACAAACTTTTTTCCCTTCTGTAGATTTTTTTCTTTACTGTTTCTTTTTTTTTTTTTTTTTCCTTTGTTGTTTTGAAGCTTTTCAATTTGACATGGTCCCATTTGTTGATTCTTGGTGTTATTTCTTCAGCAACTGGGCTTCTGTTCAAAAAGTCCTTGCCTACACCTATGTGCTTTAGAGTTTTACTTACTTTATCCTCCAACAGATTGTTTCTATTTAACTTTTTGATTTTTGATCCACAATGATTTTCAGTTTTATATATGGTGAGAGATATGAGCCTCGATTCAAACTTCTGCATGTAAGTAGCCAGTTTCCCTAGCATCATTTGCCTGAGATGCTATCTTTCCTTTCCTCTAGTGCATATCTTTTGGTTCCTTTCTCAAAGGTCAGTTTTGGCATCCTCTATTCTGCTCCACTGATCCTCACATCTGTTTTTGTGTTAGCACCATACTATTCTTTTTACTGTAGCTTTGTAATACGACTACAAATTCTGCACTGTGGTATTTCCTGCTTTGCTCTTTAGTTATATTATCTCTGAGCTTGCCAGCACCTTGTTGATCTGTTGTTTGCTTCTTCTGTTATCACTTCATATAATTCAGGTGCTTGAATTCTTGCTGTTCTCCCCATTAGTGCCCCACAGATCAGCTTTGGGGATTTGAGAGTTTTCAGAGGCAATTTTATTGTCTTGTTTTCTCATGTTTCTTTTGGGGTCTGTGCATGTGCACACACACTTTCTAATGGTTGACTGTTGATTAAAATGGATTTTGTTACTAGCATGGAGATTTCATTAGTCTTTGCTTTCTAGCTATATGCTCTAGGCGTGGTTCACTATAGTTCCAAGATCCAACCACCTCTGCTAATTTGGGGAGGGGAAAGTGCAGTATAGTTGCCCCATCACCCAACAGTACTGGAATCCACCAGATATGGGAGAGGATAGTAAGTCGCTACTATGTCCTATTTCCTTTCCATGCTCACCTTTTTGTGTGTGAGCGCTGAGTCCTTGCCTGCCTGCTGAGTCCTGCTAGTATGGTTGGTCAATAGTACCCACCCTAGAACCAT